AAGACAATTGGGAATAATATTTCCACAGAGAGCTCTCTCTCCCAAAAGGTGTTTCACAGCCTACACCTGGGGATGAAGGGACAGAGATGCAATCAGGATTACACAAGGTGCCTGTAACATCCCCATAATTTTTAATAAGTACAAGAGGACATGGTTCTGGGTAAACTTGTGATTACCAATTCTACATAGGTGTGTGTCGCATGCCAGATGGCGCAGACCAGAACCAAGAACCGGCCTCTCAAAAATGGAGCAATGATAGCACAGTGGAAGACTGAAATACCAGCAATCAGACCCAATCAATGCCGTGACACAGACTGAACACCAACACCATCATCATCATGCAGTGTGAGGGACCTAGCGCCAAACACAGAGACGAAGGGCGCCAGGTAGGAGCTCATACACGGATGAGGAGGAGGGAGGAGAGACGAAGGTGGGCGAGATATGGAGAACGTCGCCAACTCAAGATGCTGTCGATACTGGTCCAAAAAATAGTCCCACACAATGTCTCAGCCCCAATGTCATAGTGTGCATAAACTGGGCCGAAAAAGAGTTTCGGGTCAGTCTCTTGCTGATTCTGGGGGGAAGGGAACATATGATTCATACTCATACTGCACATAAACTGCGGCCGTAGTGCCATAAATGCAGCGCAAGGTGCGGTGCGGTGCCTCCCAGCATCGAAAATTCGAAGTTGGGCGTGTGCAGCACGCGGGCGGCTGGGCGGGAGGGTGGCGGCGGGTTTCGGTTGGCGTCAGCCAGTCGGGCCTAGGCCGGGCGCTAGCGCACCTTAGTGCAGCGCTGGAAATCACGCCAGCCGACGGCGCGGGCGCACAACATCAATATGTGATTGCATTTGTAGCTGCGTGTGTTACTATCTTTTTTTTTTTTTTTTTTTCATAAAAACAGAACCTTACGGTTCTGGCTCATTTTCCATTCTGGGGAGCATCAGTCCGGTTCCTTTTTTTTTTTTTTTTTTTTTTTTTACAGAACCTCTTGGTTCTGGCTCCAACCATTCTGGGGAGCAACAGTCCGGTTCCTATTCCCCCGGCAAGTCAAATTGGAATTGGAATACATCAAAACACACGCACGCTCCTCCCCATTATGGATGGGAGGCCCGAGTAGGAGGCATTGATTACTTCCGTGAGGAAGTCCTATTCCCCCGGCAAGTCAAATGAAATACAATGAGCACTCACACACGCCCTCCCCCCTTATGGTGGGCAGGTCCCAGGGACGGCATTGATTACTTCCTGCTGGAAGGATGTACCACCCCTCACCCCTGCCTAAGTTAGCCTGCTCTATTTCTGTTCTTTGGTTGCTATTCGGACTAACTCTTTGCTCTGGTGTTTGTGGATTATCTACTTGGGTCCTCTCCAGGCTGTTCCTCTCAGCTCTTTGACTGTCCGATACTCCTTACTTGCTGGGACTGCTGGGACTGCCATCTGCGGCAGTCTTTGCTAAAACTCTAAACCCTAGAGATCTGGGAGGCTGGTGAACCGTTGACCGAGCTATTATCTGGATCTTGGACCGTGTATCTTGATGGGGGGTGGTGTGATGGGTAATCGGTGTTAGGATTTAGTGTGGTGTGAAAGATGTGGGTGTGTTGGGTTTCTGATGCGGGCGTGAGACCTGGAGGATGGGATGGTATTTTGATAGGTGAGGGTGCGTTCGGGTGATGTTAGATGATGAGCGCTGGTTGGGGGGGGGTGCGGTGGTGGGTGGTTAGTGTGGGTTGACAGAAAAGTTCATAGAGCGGTATCTGTTCCATTTAGTGCAATGGGGGATAGGTTGTTTGTTACTGTGGGTTGTGTCGGAGTGGTGGGATTTTGGGTATTTGATATGGGCATAACTAACCAGTCTTGTAAGCGCAGTCTTTCTCTTTCAACTGTTCCTAGTTTCCCGTTGCCTAGATTCAGGGAGATGAATTTATTAATGACCTCTTGTTTCTTATCTGGGGCATTATGTAGGGATTGAAGTTTCGTGTATGTTCTGTTCCATTGTGCTTGTATTTCGGTTTCGACCGTCTGTTTGATGACTATGACGAGGTTTTCAGGGGTATTACTAGAAACCTCGGAGGTTGCTGTGCATCTCCTTTTCCAGATAGCCCAGAGGGTTGATTTTTTGATGAGTGAGAAGAAGAAACACTCAAAACCTTTGAGGGGTGGGTTGTGATCTACTTCTAGGAATAGGGTGCCAGGGTTGATCGCGATGGTTTTATTGGAGTGTTTGTTCCAGGTTAATTTTATATCGTGCCAGAGTTGTTTTGACTTTGGGCAATCTATGAAGCAGTGGTTGAGTGTTTCTTCGAGTTGGGTGGTATGTGTTACTATCTTGATGTTGCATGTTTCTCAATTTTCCACTCAGAGCATTGATATTGTTGCCTGAGACCTCCAGTGTGTCATCTGTCTAAAAGATAGCACAGTACTATCACATCAGACTTCCCCTGTGAAACGGTTTTCACCTTTCAGCAGTAGCGGATGCAGTACCCAGGGTTCGACCCCTAGACCTCACCCTACCCATGTACAGTATCTGTGTAGACCCCGAGAGTGGAACCTGTGACCTGTGTATTCGTAGACAGTTGGTAGGTCTGTCGTAGGTCCATAGGCAACAGGGGTTCGATCTGTAGGTCTATAGCGTAGAAGTCTTAGTGAGTTCCGGAAGCTTAGCTGCAGACCTTCTAGAAGGTAGGCAAGTGGGCAAGTGGTCAAGTGGCGAGGCAAGTGGTGGACTAAACTGCAGTGCCATAGCAGTACGACGTCGGTAGGATAGCAGTGAGTCCACAGTCAGTCAGCGGAAGGTTCAGTCAGTCCCAGTCCGGTCCAGCAAGTACCACGGGGGGACTGTGAGCACCATGGGCCGATGGCAAAGGGCAGACCAACGAGTTTCCGAAGTATAAAGCAAGAGGCAGCGCCCAGCCATTCATTCATTCCTGCGTGAGCCATGCGGAAGCGCTGCCACAGCGACTTGT